GCTGGCTTACTGTGGGCTCTTGAGCTTGGTGTTGGATGCACCAACCAATACAATAGATGCAATTCATTAACAGCCATGTTTAGAGGCTCCTGAGACTGTATCCCCGGACCTAAGGTCACCAAGAATTCTGCACATCGGATGTCCTATTCCAATAAATAAAAATGATGCGGCCCTCTCAGCGTGGTCCGAGTTCTGCTTTGTTGCCACTTCCTCTCACAGCCACCGGAGGGGTCACTGCAACCTCGCTGCTGTTGGCAATCGGGGTTAGTAGCACAGGGCCACTGCGGAAATGAACAGGGGGGAGGGCGAGGCCATATCTGTTCCACCACTGCTCTCGATAGGTCCTTGTGGTGAGGGTTTCCAAGAACCAGCGGAGCAGTTAAAGGAGCTGAGCAACACTTACGAGAAACGCGCCCTGCCCCAACCCACCCCCACCCCTTGGCCCCTTTCTCCCCTCCTTTGCGGTCTCCAGCCTTTCCTCCCTTCCAGGACACACAGGTGCAGAGCATGTCTATTTCCACAGAGCGGGGGTCCCTCCCCAGCTCTGCTCGGACCTCCACGTACTGGAGCCTGAAGGGGCCCTGAGAGGACCCAACCCAAAAATGCCTAGTTGTCCGAAACCACGACGCGGGTTCGATCCTTACCACCAAGAGGGAAACGGTGTCGGCTAACAAAGCAGTAAGGGGCAAGGATGATTCTGCTTCCATTTTCCAAGACTCTCACCTTACCAATTCTTCTTCTTCTTCTTTTCTTTTCTATTTTTTCTTTTTTTGGTTTTTGGAGACAGAGTTTCTCTGTGCCTTTGGAGGTTGTCCTAGAACTAGCTCTTGTAGACCAGGCCACAGAGAAATTGTCTGGAAAAAAAAAAAAAAAGGAAAACTATTCTAAACTGGGCAGTGGTGACATATGACTTTAATCCCAGCACTCAGGAGGCCGAAGCAAATGGATCTCTGTGAGTTCAAGGCCAGCTTGGTCTACAAAGTGAGTTCCAGAACAGCCAGAGCTACACGGTGAAAACCTGTCTGGAAAAACAACAACAAAAGACAAACAAACAAAAAATTACTATTATGATTATTATTGATGGGGGCACATGCCATGGTACACATGGGGAGATCTGAGGAAACTTAGAGAACTCAGTTCTCTCCTTCCACAGGGGCTTCTTTTTTTTTTTTTTTTTTTTTTTTGGTTTTTCAAGACATGGTTTCTCTGGGTGGCTTTGGGGGCTGTCCTGGCACTCGCTCTGGAGACCAGGCTGGCCTCCAACTCACAGAGATCCGCCTGCCTCTGCCTCCCTAGTGCTGGGATTAAAGGCGTGTGCCACCAACGCTCGGCCCACAGGGGCTTCTTGAATCCTAGTGGTTGAACTCAGATAATTGGGTTTGGGGAAAAGAGCCTTAATCGATCAATGCTGAGCCATCCCACAAGCCCTCAAAATACTATTATTCTTCATTACACTTTCAAATGTAAGAATCCTGAGACAGGCACTGGGGCACTGTAATCCCAGTACCAGGAGGGGAGAGCAAGGTCATGAGTTCAGGGTTGCCCTCTGCTACTTTTCAGGTTAGAGGCCAGCCCTGGCCCCTAAGATCAATATCAAATAAGGGAGGAGAGTTGTCATTGGGAGTGAGAGGAGAAGACAGGGATGGGGGTAACATGATGAAAACACATTAGATACAAGTATGAAGATGTCAAAAGGGAGGCTGGAGAGGTGACTCAGGGGTTAAGAGCACTGGCTGCTCTTCCTGAAGACCTGGGTTCGTAGGGCGTTGGTGGCAAACGCCTTTAATCCCAGCACTCGGGAGGCAGAGACAGGTGGATCTCTGTGAGTTTGAGGCCAGCCTGGTCTCCAGAGCGAGTGCCAGGATAGGATCCAAAGCTACACAGAGAAACCTGTCTCTTTCAAAAAACCAAACCAAACCAAACCAAAACAAAACAAAACAAAAGACCTGGGTTCAATTCCTAGAACGCACATGACAGTTCACAACTGTCTGTAACTCCAGTCCTTGGGCCCCAGACACAGAGATGGTACACAGACATAGACAGGTAAGATACCCAGACACATGTAAAGTGGGGGAAATATTTAATGTCAACATGGAGCCTACCCAAAGCAGACTTATAGTTTATCAAAACACTTTAAAGGCAGCGAAATGACTCAAACAGCAGGGTTACACGCGGCCAGGCCGGCCAGCCTGATAACTTGAGTTTGTTCCTGGGATCCACCTGATGGAGGGACAGAACAAACTCAGGCAAGTTGTCATCTGACCTCCACATGTCACATGGCATCAGATCCCAGACATTGCTACATACTGAGACCCTGTCTCAGAAAATAATAATAGTAATAATAATAATAATAATAATAATAATAATAATAATAATAAACCAGTGAAACACTGCTTCCCTTTGAAGTCCCAGAATCCACCCCATCTCCTGCCTCCTCAGCTATGACTATAATGTCAAAAACATGTTGTGCTGAACTCAGAGCAAACCAAGAGTGACAGAGATACCCTGGTCTCCACCTCTTGGAGAGGAAGCAGTGCCACAGTAACTGAGCCTGTCCCTCTCTCCAGGTCACAACCAGATTCTTACTCCAAAGAAACGACAACCAAGTCCTGACACCCCACCCTACCCCAGGACCTGCCTGCTACTGTCCTGACCTTGCAGTAGGGATTTGTATGTGCATACACCTGATAATATCTAACCATTTGGGCTGGAGAGATGGCTCAGAGGTTAAGAGCACTGACTGCTCTTCCAGAGGTCCTGAGTTCAATTCCCAGCAACCACATGGTGGCTCACAGCCATCCATTATGAGACCTGGTGCCCTCTTCTGGTGTGCAGATATACTTGGAAGCAGAATGTTGTATATATAATAAATAAATTCTTTAAAAAAAATCTAACTATTCTTTCTAATAACCTAATCAAGAGCAGGTCCTTCAACTCTTCCGCCCCTCATTGGTCCCAATAATATAACCAGGTCATGGAGAATTAGGGGCAAAGGCAGAATATGAACCCAAGGATGATTCTCCAGGGGATGTCCTTAATCATTGTTCCTAAACTGCCTTGACAAGGAGACCAGCTAGGACCTTTCACCTTCTCAAGGAGATCTTAGTCTCAGCTGGACATACCTGCAGTCCCAGGGTTCAAGTCCAGCCTGGAATGCATGAGATGCTGAGAAGGAAGAGGAGGAGGAGGAGGAGGAAGAGGAGGAGGAGGAGGAAGAGGGAGGGAAGGAGGAGGAGGAGGAGGAGGAGGAGGAGGTGGAGGGAGGGAAGGAGGAGGAGGAGGAGGAAGAGGAGGAGGAGTATGGTGGCACATATCTCTAAGTTTAGCCCCCTGGGAGGCAGAGGCAGGTGGATCTCAGTGAGTTTGAGACCAGCCTGGTTTACATAAAGAGGTCAAGGCTGGCCTAGCTATGGAAGCAGATACCTTCAATCCTAGCACTGGGGAGACAGAGGTAGGCAGATCTCTGTGAGTTTGAGGCCAGCCTGGTCTACAGAGTGAGTTCCAAGACAGACTCCAAAGTTAGAGAACCCTGTCTTGGCGAGGGGGGAAGACAAGGGGGGTGGAGGGAGGGAAGAGGTCCAAGCCTCACAGGGTTACCTAGTGAGACCTTGTCTCAAACAAACCAAACCATCTCCTGACCTTTGACCTCTTCTACTCTTAAGAATGCATTTGCCTTTCTTCAGACACACTGCCTCCCCCACTCAACCCAGCCCTCCCCCTGCAGTCTCAACAGCTGAGCAAAGGGCCCCCAACTCATTTCAAGGGCAAGAAGGGTGAGGTTCTGCCAGATTTCATTAGAAATTTCTGGCAACTTTCAATTGTTCACTTGCAACTTTACTGGAAATGATGCCACACGGGCCTAGACTCTGAGCAGTGTGTTTACAGGAAGGAGGGAAAGGGGAACTTCAACAAATCAGCCCCCAAGAACTGAGAAATCCTTCCTTCCTTTCTGCAGCCACACGGGAGGGTTGCTGGGGTTGGGGACCTAGTCAGGGAAGAGAGGGCACTGTGGCCCGGATCGTCCACTAAACAAAAGTGCATGGGCCCAAGTTCCCAAGAGATTATGGATACACAGAGAAGAGGTCAAGATGACCCACAGCGAGGCAAGAAAGTTAGAATTGTTACTAATGCACATAAAGAAACAAGAGAGCAATGTTTACACCTGGGTGTGGTGCTGGGCAAGCCTGTAATCTGATCCTAGATGCAGGAAGATCAGGAGTTCAAGACTATCCTGGGTGGGCCAGATTAGACAATGTCTCCTGTATCCCAGGCTGACCTTGAACTTCTGATTCTCGTTTTCAATTCCCAAATGCTGGGGCTTATAGGTTTACACCAGCACGTCTGCTATTTAGCATATTTTGAGATCTGTCCTATGCTAGTCTTGACTTCTGAACTCAACTGATATCTGCTAGGTGGGATGCTTACCTCTAATCTCAAAATCTATTCCAGTGGAGATGGGCAAGTTTACCCAACCCTTTAATCCCCACACTTGGGAGGCAGAGGCAGGATGATCCAAGAATTACTGAGCAACCTGGTCTATAGCAGCCAAGACTACATGTTTTTGTCTCAAACCCCTCCCCCCACAAGAAAACAATCCAAGTGTTGCCTACAATCCCAGAATTTGATAGCAGTAGCAAGATAATGCTCAATGCCAGCCCCAATTACATGACACCATGTAGGGAAAATTCTTCCCTGCCAAGTCTTGTCCAACAGGCCTGATGATGCTACAATTTGGCTTGGCTGCCACCTGCTTTAGAATGGAGAAGGGACTTGGTCTTGGTTTAAGGGATGTTTTCTTAGTGGGGACTGCCTCACAGAAGGCCTGCATCCCATTCTAACACTGGGTTGTCTAGAAAGCCCTGTGCCCCACCAGGAAACCTCGTTCCAGTCTCAAACTGCCTTTTCTACCTGGCTCATACATCTTTGTATGAATGAGTGGAAAACACCTCGGGTTAAGACAAAAGGTTTTTATTCAAAAAATGCCAAGTATAAAAAAAAAAAAAATAAGATCTCTTTTATTCCCCTGTACAGTATTTCACTCAGATAAAACCAGCAGGCTACATGCTGCTCAAACCAAGCTCAGCCCCAAAGAGCATCCGGAAGGCACACCATGCTGGAACTGCCTTACAGTCTTATGTACAGTCAGCAATGCCCCTTCCCAGACAGCCCAGACCCACTCCAGTAAGCGGGCAAGGGGCCCCCACAGAAGGAACTACAGCAGCTGTTCCAGAGTCCCTTCACCCCAGCAAGCATCGCAGCCTTCCCCAAAGGATCCCCAAGTTAGGAGGAAAAAAAAAAAAAAACAAAAAAACCAGAACATGACAATAAAATCCTAGGGCAACAGCCAGTGGAAGTTTGGAACAGGAAGGCAACCAAATAAATAAATAAATAAATACATTAACATTGACTTCCAGGCTAGAACGTGCCATTCTTCAAACAAAACAAAACAAAACAAAAAAAAAACCCCAACACATAAAATATAACTTAAAGGCTTTTTTTCTTTTTTAAATTGTATCCACTACAATCCTTTTTTGCAGGCTACCATGCCGACCGTACACATTTACAGCTTGTCTGGTTGTTGCATTGGTTGTGCATTCTGGGTGAGGTCTTGGCTTTGAAACAGTTAAGTAGAAACCAAAAAGGAAGACCAGTTCACTTGGGAGTTTTACTAAAGGAGGCAGAAAAAAAGGGCAGGTGGCTCAGCAGTTGGCCCTGTAGCCTCTTCCAATGGCACCTTTCACAAGAAGTGGGGTGGGGTGAGGATGAGAACAGGGCAAAGAGAAGGGAACCAAACCCAGGCAGATTTTTGGAGAAGCAGCAGGTAAGAGGCAAGTTCAAGTATTTCTCCCAGCACAGCCGGAGTCCCCACAGAAGGCACTCAGAGGAGATGGAAGAGGTGACAGGGACTTAAATATGGTGCTAGTTTTTTTTTAACCCCACCCAAAACATGTTTGTCCCCCTTATCCTAGCCCATTTTGGTGACTCCGGGTGACTAAAGTTCCATGGCAGGGTTTTGACCCACTCCCACCCCCCACCCCAGTATTCTGCGGAGCCCAGCAAAACTAGACACTGAGAGCGTCTATGGGGGGAGGGCGTAGGGGCCTGGGAACGTGAAACAGTCTCTCTCCCCGGTGGGAGGCTGCTCCAGGAACCTGGAGTCTGGAATGAGTTGTCACTGCTGTTCCTGCATGAAGTAAGGTCCTGCTGGAAGCTGAAGACAGCTCTCCCTCCCCACAGTGTCTGACAGAAAGGCTGCTATTTGCTGGGTGCCGGTGATAGGCTGCGCAGGTGAATCTCAGCCGTTGCCTGGGGAAGGAGAACATCCTGCATCCATGGATGGTTCTGGATTTCTTCGAAGGATGGCCGATCTGATGGTCTCAGGGCCAGACACCATTTAATGAGATGCTGGCATTCTGTAGAAGGAAGGACAGACAGAGGTTAGAGATGACTCAAACTTGTTTTTGTGATGCAGAGGTCTTCCCAAGGCCCACAAGCCGGGGTTTTTTAAAGAGGGTGTACTCTATTCAGAACACTGCTGGGCGGGCCCTCAGTGATGAGTACTGAAAGCCTCCCGTCTGCTCTCAGTTAAAAAGTGGCTCCCCTCTTAAACCTGTGGTTTCAAACTTCAAATAGCTCGGGCCTTTCCCATGACACCCACTCACCAGAAATAGGAAGGATGACAAGGGTTTTGATGAGCCATCACTGAGCAAGATGAGGTGATTCAATTCACCTACCAACTTACAAACACTGACACCACTCAGGATGAGGTCACTGGGACCACAATATTTACAAAGCTATTGCCTTCAGGCGAGATGGCTTAAACAGCCCTTGCCTTTTTTAATGCCAGTACTTAAAACTTTACAGGGTCTAGTGGTTGGGGTGGGATGTATATAAATTAAGACCTGTTCCAATTCCACAATGACCCCCCCCCCAAAAAAACCAACCCAAAAAACACACACTCATTCAAACCAGGATTCCAAGGCCATCAAAAATTGAGTGAAATCCTGTCTAAGTCATCTCAGCACTTGGAGGACAGAAGCAGGCCAGGGGCCCTTACTTAGGGACCCTGTCTCCCCAAAAGAAAATGAATAAATAGAACAAACGATGGCTAGGATATAACCCCCATACCCTCTTTTACATAGCATCAGATTTCATGGTTCACTCTTGTAATCCCAGCACTCATAAGAGTGGAGACACACTCTCAAAACCAGCCTTTCAAATATAACCCCAGTGCCAACCACCAAAGGGCTCGGGGAAGTTACCTGAAGAGACTCTTTGCCTGAAGAACACTTGACCCTTGATGATCTCTTCGTCATGCTCAAATGGAATATCTCCACAGACCATATCATAGAGCAGGATCCCCAGGGACCAGACCGCAGCCGACCTGCCATGGTATCGATGGTAGCGAATCCACTCTGGAGGACTGTACACTCGGGTTCCTGCCAGCCGAGGGAATTGAAAGAAAACTATGTTAGCAAAAATAAACAAAGCAACTAAGCTGAGTAGCTTCTTTGAAAAATTTTCTTTTGGAGACAAGAGTTTCTCTGTGTAGCCCTGGTTGTGCTGGAAGCCCATCTGTAAACCAGGCTGACCTCGAACTTGGAGATCACCCTGCTTCTGCCTTGAATGTTAGAATTAAAGGTGTCTGCCACCACCATTTATTTGGCTTACTTAAAAATACATTGTTTTCCTCTCCAAAACAGGGTACCTCTCCACCAGTCTCAACCCTAAACTGAAATCCCTTACAAACTGTCACAAAGATGAACAGAGCCACTGAAAAGCAAAAGTCTGAGGCCCTAGGCGGTAGAACTCACAGTGAGATACAGCCTTCAACTACCCAGACCCTGTCCAGTACCCTGCCAGAATAGACTCTCATCTAGACCCAAGCGGGTGAGGACCCCCTTCAGAAAGCTTTCCTCTGGGTTCTGCGCAAGCAAAGCAGTATACCTACACTCTTTCCTCCCCAGACAGGAAAGGCATAGTTACAGGGCTGGTTTCAGACCACGTGATTCCTGTTTACAAACTTTGGATAGTAAAAAAGTGCTAACCTCATGGTGCTCAACAGGGGGCAGCAAAGACTTGCCCAGGGGGAGGAAAAAAAAAAAAAACACACACAAGGGAGGACTCAGCCAGCCATTAACTGTTAAATACAAAAAATGCAGCCCAACCCTGCGTCCTCCATTGGCAAAGAAATACAAACCACAAGGCAGTCACAAGTCTTGAAAGGCTGTCGTTTGTCAGGGTGAGCCACTCAGATCATAACCCACCCTCTCGCTTTGATCTAGTATCCCTCCATTCCTTTTCTGAAAGAACGCGATCCAAGCCCCTCCCTAGGATAGGTTTTCAGTCTCCCTGCGGGAGACACCCAACTAATTTTCAAACCAGCAACAGATCTTATTTCACAACATTGCAGGCTTCGTCACCCCACAACACCCCCAAGTGTAGTGAAACCACGTCTCTTATTCCTTAACCCTCAAAAACAAAACAAGACAAAAACCTGCATGCAGTTCTAAGAACTACCTTAAAACTCCCCCACAAAACAAAACAAACTACAAAACCGGCATCAATGTCTCCCGCCACCACCGGCTCCACCTCCTTCTTCTACTGGTGAGAAAAGTGGGTCAGACTTTAGAAATCTGGGCTATAGCCGGTTGCCTACGACTTTTTATTCACGGGAAAGCATGGAATTTACTAAAATTCCACTTAAAAAAAAAAAAAGAAAAATTACAACCACGCCAGAAATGTTGCAGGTTCGTTCAACCGGCTTGAAATCCCCGGCTGTAGTGTGCCGGGAAGCTCGCCTGTGCCCCACCCCTGCCAGCACGGAGCCAGGCGGCCCAATGACCTTTACAAAGGGCCGGAGCCGAGGAGGCCAGCGGCGGCGGCGGCTCCCTCCCTCCCTCCCCGGGGCCTGCAGGGCTCACCATCCCAGGCCGTGTAGACTGTGTCCTTGAGCAGCGCCCCCGACCCGAAGTCGATGAGTTTGAGCTCGCCGCGGTTCAGGTCGATCAGGATGTTCTCGTCCTTGATGTCGCGGTGGAGGACCCCGCAGCTGTGGCAGTGGGGCAGGGCCTCCAGCACCTGCCAGAAGAAGCTGCGAGCCAGCTCCTCCTGCAGGGCTCCCCGCTCGGTGATGAAGTCGAAGAGGTCTTGCACCGGCTCGGGCCTCTCCAGGATCAGCACGAAACTGTCGGGCCTCTCGAACCAGTCCAGAAGTCGGATGACGCCCGAGAAGCCCGAGCTCACCTTCTTCAGCAGGACCACTTCCATGGGCACGCGGGTGCCATTGGGCTGCGCGGGAGGGCGAGCGAGGGCCGGGGTCAGCGCGCCGGTTCCGGCACGCCCGTCACCACCCAGCCACCCAGCCACCCACCCAGAACGAGGGAGGGTCGCGGGCCCGGGCTCACTCACCAGTTCTCCCCAGTCGGAAATCCGGTCCTTCTCCACGTGCTTGATGGCCACCTGGAAGAGAGCCCCGCGTCTCCATCAGAACCTCGCTCCTGCTGCCCAGAGCATCCCTCCGCGCGCGCGCCCTGCCCGAGGCGGGGTGCCCACTCACCGGCAAGT